TGCTCTCAGCATCTTCTGCATTTCTTGTCTTACATGACTCCAAACGTATTCTTTTAGAATGCCTCTTCCTCTACAGAAGGAATGTGGCTAGTCATAAAACTATCACAAAAAAACAAAGGAGGGGGGCACACCTGGACTCCCCCCACCCTCCCAGCATAGCGAGCACATGATGGGAAGAAAAGAAATAGTCCTGACTGACATTTGTGAACTTAAAAAAAAAAAACTACAAAAGGCTGGACCAGCACATTAAACAGATGATGCAAGTAGATTCTGAAATCAGGAGGAAATTCCAAACGATTCTTTGAGTTAAATGATGACCTACTGAATGCAATGCGTCCCCAGCCATCCAGCACCATGGACATCAACTCTGGTCCCTTAATGAGGATCAGGCTGCCACAATTGACTTACTGGAACACCCCCCACAATCTCCTAGGGCCAAGACCGGTCTCATAGAGGAGGAGGCTGGAATCAGTATCCTGAGCCCCCTTCTTGTCGGGCATTTCCAGTATATTTCTGCCCCTGTGGTCTCCAAAATCCAAGTCCGTCTCTAAGATGAACTGGATCCTTAGAGCAATGGAAGAAACAGTTCACTGTGTAGAGGCTATTAAACCTAAGTGGCCCACGAGCTTGAGGTAAGAGGGACCTCCAGGGGCTGTCCCAGCCCACCCAGAGCCGAACAAGAGTTCCCTTGGTCCCCAACAAGTGGTCAGCCTGCCTCTGCTTGGAGATCTCCAAGGACAGGGAGCTCACCACCACCTGAGACAGCTCATTCCCCCTCTAGGATAGCTTTCCTTGTTAGGAGCCCAAGACTAGTTCTTTGCACCTGCCACCTGTGCTTCCTAGCTCTGCTTCCTGGAACCATCACAACACACTGAAGTCCTCTTCCAGAAATGGGGCCCTCTAGATGCTTGAAGAAAGGTATTCTGTTCCAACCTAGGCCTTCTCCTGTCTCAGCTAAACATCCCCAGTTCTTCAGCCAGATTTCACACAGCCAGAATCCAAGGCCCTTTGCAATCCTACGGCTCTTCTCTGGACACCCTAGATGATCAGGTTTCTTCAAAAAAATGCAAGGTCTGGTTTATGATCTAATCCCCCTCCTCCCATTGCTTTATATAGATAAAGAAATTGAGGGATATTAGCTGACTTGCTTAAGGTCACACAGCTAGGAAGTAGTACAGCTTGGATTCCCATCCACCATGTTGGCAAATGTTGTCTGAAAATCCATTCGGGAAAAAGACTTTGCATTTGCAAGATTGGAAAGAAGATGCTTGATCTTAAGGCCCCTGACCATTGTGTGCACATCATAAACACTGAAAACATTTTGTCAGAGGCCACCTCAGAAGTAGAGCTTCCCCCTTCCCCATGAGGCCATGTTCCAATGGCAAGGAGGGAGCCCAGGCATCATAGCTTAGGCTTGAGCTGACAATATGGCCTAGAGTTTGGGAAGATAAGGATGAGTCCAGCTAGAGTTTGTAGAATTTTACACATACAAAAATAGGAACTATTCTGCCCCCCAAAACCCACTGCTTGGAGCAGAGGAGAAGCAATAATCCATAAGACAGTGAGCCTCTGTTTTTGCCTCTGTCTAACCTTGCATCCCTAAGGCTGAGCACATGTTAAGAGATCCATAAATGGATGAAAAGTTGAGGATTTTTCCTTCTTCCTTCTCCTCCTCTCTCCCTCCCTTTCTCTTCTTTCCTCTCTCCCCCCCCCCCATTTCTTGAGGTCAAGAACTACCTTTGGTTTTCTATTTCCATCTCTAGCACTTAGCACAGGGCTTAGAATATATTAAGCACTTAATAATGTTATTTTAATTCATTCATCCATGTGTTCCCCTGCCCCTGCCCCCCTTCTTTCCAGATTTCCTTTGTATTTCACAGTGGGGATCAATGGATTCTGTGATCAGGAATGTCTGCAGTCTTCCCTCCTCCACCGAGGCGCTCTCACAGAACTCTCCACAGCCAGTGCTCATCCAAGGTTTTCCGAGTCACCACTAGAGGGAACCTGGAGACTGCTGTGGTTTTTTATTTAAATATATGAAAAAGGGAGCAAAGGAAGAGCCAGGTGGTGCCTGTTTTTAGAAACAAAATCAGTGCTGGGATTGTCCTGTCCCCAGCAGGGGATCCCAGCAGATGTGGCAGCGGATGCCTTCCAGTCACAAGTTCATAACATCCAGGTCTTAGAGGAGAGGAGGCGCCCTTTAATGCAAGCAGAACATCCAGGGAAAGGGGCCTGGAGTCTGAGTCGTGTGACCTTGGGAGATCATTTCTCTCTTAGGACTTCAGTTGTACCATCTGTAAAAAAAGGGGGGAAATAGCAGAAGACTGGGAGAATGTAAGCTCCCTGAGGACAGGGTCAGCTTCACTATATTTTTGGATCCTCAGGGCCCAGCATGGTACCTAGCTCCCAGAAGGTGCTGGTTAGTGCTTATGCACTGGGGGGTTGATGTCTCGGTTACTTTTTAGGGCTAAAAATGTAAGCCCTAGGACACCTTTCTTTTACTTCTGGCAGATTTGGGAAACCTGAGCCCCCCAGGTCTGACAGACTAGGGGGTCTTCGTGGTCACCACATCATCATCTGATCTCCCAAAAGAAGCTGCTTGTGTTAATTTAATATCAATAACCAGACCGGGAGCCACTGTAGCATTTTTTAGAACCCAGAGGAGACCAGAAGAGTGTTCCAAAGGGAACAAGGCCAAGCAGGAAGGGGTCAAATTTATCGTACTCTTTAAAAAGTGAATGCAAGTTATACCTAAAACTGAGAGAAATTATTCCAGCCTCAACCATAAAAAAAAAAAAAAAGCCTACGACCTTCCAATTCAATTCAATAGAATAAATAAGCCACAAGCACTGAGCAAGGGACTGGGAATGTTAAAATACCAGAATGCTCAGAGGCATTCACAACTGCCAAGAAGGTTTCAATAAAAAGGCCCATTTTTCACTCTTTAGGCTGGAGTTCGGACTGGTAAAAAATGGAGGATTAATGTCGCATCGAGCAGAAACATGGAACAGGGAAGAAACAGTGGCCCTGGGCTCAGGTAATCAGAGGTTTAGAGCCAGAAGGGAGCTTGGAGGCCAATTTGAACTCGGGTTTTATGTTCTATTCACTGGGCCAAAGAGCAGATTAAAAATCCCAACCCTGAGGTTCCCTATGTGACCTTAATGACCACCACCATACGACCACTTTACTACTCTGGGCCTCAGTTTCTTCATTGGTAAAATGAGGGGGTTGCATTAGATGGTCTGTGAAGGTTCTTCAGGCTCTAGAAATCCTGAGGCCCTAAGCTCCCATTCCAGGTGGGCTCCTGCTGAATTCTGGAGGCCACTGAATGGGCCAGAACATCAGGACCGACAAGGGCGAGGGCCGTCCTCCACTGGCGGTCATGCATCTCCCAGGTGAAGAAGAGTTCTCCCGGAACAGCTCTCTTTGGTCCCAGGGGCAGGGAAATCTTGGAGGTGTTTTATATTGAGAGAATCGTGATGCCAAGCAAGACAAAAGAACAGCAGAGAAACACGGGCATTGGGAGGCTCAGGGGGAGTGTTAGAGAGAGAAGGAAAAAGGAGGCTTATCAAGAAATGGGATTTTGGAAGGAACAGGGAAAAGAACATATCAGGTCTGAAAAGGAAGACCAGCCTTGACATCAAAACAAAATGGCAAAGAGCGGATGTCTTACCCTAAGCTTCCCATTTTACAGATGAAAAAATGAGGCTCCGAGAGGAGATGTGTATTACACAGCATCAGAGGGGTCGTAAAGGAGCAGATCCAAGATTCAAACCCAAGAACTTGGGAAGCATGGCCATCTTCACATTAAAAGATGTGGATGATGGGGCAGCGTGGGAGGCTTGGCCACAGCATGTAAACATGGCGGCAGACCACAACCTGTGTACGGGATGATGTGAGAAGGATGGCTCTGGCTTCACAGGTCCTGGGAGTGAATCCCTGATCTCCCAATGGAAGGCAGATCTAGGAAGGTCTCCCTCTCTGGGCTCCTGCGATCGTGAGTAGAATGCAGATTAGATGGTCCAGAAGGGCTGTCCACCTTGGTCCAGATGCCTCTCCCCTAAGTGTTGCCCTTGCATGTCTGATCTTTGCAAAGAATGCACAGAGCAAAGCAAGGGGCAGTCAGGGGAGATGGAGGTGAGCACACAGATGTCTATGGCAACTGGGAAAACCACCCATTGAACTGGGAAGTAGGAGGATGTGGATTCGAATTCCACCTGACACTGGGAGGGCAAGTCACTTATTCTTGGCCTCAGGCTGCTCATCTGTAACGATGAAGGCCTCGGATTCAGCTCTGAATCTACAGTCATCAAGGCTGCATCAGTCCACAAAACGTCCCCACATTTTAGCAGACACAAACCACTCTGAGATGGGGGTTACAGAACATGCATTCACTGCCCCCTCCACTTAACCATCATCCGATGACTCACTGTGGTCTGGAGGTGACCCCTGAGTCTCAAGGCAAAGAACAAGCTTCACTGGTACCTGCTAAGACGGGAAGGCTTCCCAGAACAGGCCCATGATGAGCTGGGCGTGCACCATCCCAGGACAAGCCTGGCTCCTTTCACAGGGGATCCAATTGGCTTCCAAACAACTCACAGAGACCATCTACCAAGTCCTACCCAGGTCCCGGGCCATGAGTTTTGTCACTGGAGGGACTGACCACAAAATGATGAATTCCCTAGATCTTTTAGGAACCAGAGTCCTTCATGCCCAGAATGATTCGAAGACGCTCAAGACGCCACCCTGCCTGTCCCTCACAAGTCATTGCCCAAATCCAACCCTCAGACACCAAGAGGAAGCAAGGATGATAAAGATCCATTTCTATTATCAGTATGGTGTGTGTGTGTGTGTGCGCGCGTGCGTGCTCCCATGCCTTCATGGGCATCTCTCAACAGATGGGGAAGAAAGGTGGGAAGTAGCAGGCACGGGCGCCATCTTCCAGAAGGGTTCCCTGCCACAGATGTCTAGACAAGACAGACAAAAGCATCAGGGTTTACCATCTTGGAACACACGCTCCACATTCAGGCCGTAGGTCGCGCAGGTCTCGTAGTACGTGCATCGCTTCAGGTCATTTGACAGCTTCCTCGCTCGAGCGTCATCAATCACACGTGGGTTGCTGGAACTTATCGCGTCTGAGACCAAAACATAAAACATCAAAATGTCACTTAACAAACACTGTGAAGACATCTACGAAGCCGGAACCCTAAAAAAACTCACAGCACAGAGAGGACAGAGGAAGTTCAGGTGAGGATACAGAGGGCAGTTTTATTATTACACTAAATTTAATAAACCCAAAATAAAAACAGTAACATTAACCAGAAGTTACTGAACACTTTAAGGTTTGTAATGAACTTTAAAAATATCTCATTTTATCCTCATATCAGCCCTGGGAGGTGATTATCCCCATTTTACAAAAGAGTTAAACTAAGGGTGAGGGAAGTTAAATGATTTGCCCAGAGTCATACAGTTAGTGCCTGAGGCTGGATTTGAAGTCAGGTCTTCCTACATCCAAGTCTAGCTAGCGTTCTATCCACTAACTTACCTAGCTGCCCCCAAACTCTGATGATTTCACATATAATCCTACTGTTTGCTCTTTGTTGATTGAAATCACAAATCCAGATCTCAAAGAGACCTCAGAGAAGGAAAGTGGAGTCTGAATTCTGAGAAATCATAATGACAAAGCATGGCACCAGACTGTATCTTTGCAGAGGCGGGGGGCTCTGGGTGTGGAACACTGCAAGCACGTAACATCAGATCTTTTAAATGTCCATCAGTATGGCGGACTTTACATCTGTTCTTTTTTTTTTCAATAAATTATGAGGGAAAACTCTCTGGGATGGGGAGAGGTACACTGGGACGTTAAGGGATAGAAAAACAAAAGTAACAATAAAAATGTCTTTTTTGAGAACCCTTAAATTTGGGATTTTAAATTGCCTGGCATTTCCTCTGAGGGAGAAGAATGGATAGAAGGCCTTTGAGGTGACCTCCAGTTCTCCTTCTGTGATGTGATGAGCCTATAATCGTACCAAAGTCACTCAACCTCTTCCCTCCCTAGGTTGGGAACAAAGTGACTGATGCCATTTCAAGTTACGCCACTAGAGGGAGGTGTAGGCAGGGATTAGGGACTATTTTGATTGTCACGTTCTCATTTACAGTTTCCTTGCAAGAAGCAAAGGGAAAAATACCCTTTAATATGACAGACCAGGAGAAAATAAAAGAGCTCACCCACCGGTTGTGGACCTGAGAAGGCTCCAAAGTCTCTTCCTACCAAACAATTTTAGCATCTGAATCTTTATTGTAACCATAGAACTTACTTTGTTCCACAATTTGCTCGAAGGGTGCTCCAAAGTGATCTATTCCAATATCATTTTACAGAGGAAGAAACTGAGGCCCAGGGATTATGAGGTAGAAGGACCTTGGAGGACACGTGGTCTAACCCTTTCTTTTCTGTTTCTTTTTTTACAGGTGAGAACACTGAGGTCAAGTTAAGTAATTTGCCCCAAATCTCACCAATGGTATTCACACAACTTCAGAGCCAATGCTGTTCTACTGTCTTGTGATGCTTCCCCATCAACAGACCATCATTAAGCACCATCTTTCTATTTCCAAGGCCTTGTGCTCCATGCTAGGAGACAGAGGTTGATGACACACTTTATTAATTAGTTGGTTATGAGAGGCACATGAGGTAGTGGTGAGGGTGCTGGCCGGCTCTGGAGTCAGAGAACTGGGTTAGAAACCATTTCTATCATTCACTGTATGTATGCAATCTTGGGAGGACACTGGGCCTTGGTGACCACTGGAAGGTGGTGGTGACCCTTGGCTCTCCAAAGTCTAGACTTGAAGACAAGAAGACCTGAAATCAAGTTCCTAATCCAGACAATGTGTCACTACTGATCTGTGTCTCAGTTTCCTTATCTGCACAATGGGGGTAATAGCACCAAGCTCACAAGGTTGTTGCATGGATCAAATAAGAACATTTTTGCAAACCTCAAAGTGTCACAAAGTGTGAGCTATTGTTGGCATTACTAGTACTATTGCCCATCGCAACCTGAGTGCTGCTGCCTTCCCCCAAGCTGGGGAAGCTGTCCAAGAAGCAGCCCAGTTCAGTTCAAATCTACTCATCCCCCAAACCAGCAGGGGCCCCAGAAAGATAACTGTGGGTGTGGAGTGGAGGGGATGGTGAGCCCCTTAAAGACCACGAGCAGAGGTGGGGAGGCTAGGGACCTACACTGGTGGAGAGAATTTAGGGTTCAGGTTCAACGAGCCCAAATATATGTCATATGGATAAGAATTCAAGGGCTTCTTAAAGGTTTCCAGATTCATTAAAAGCAGGAAAAGGACGAGGACTTCAGAGAAGCATGGGAAGACTTCTATGAGCTGATGCAGAGTGACATAAGCAGAACCACCATAACTACAGTAACATAAATAAAAAGAATAAAAGAAATCCAACTTTGAGTAACTGATGGCTCGACAATGATCTCGGAGAAGCAACAATGAAACATATTTCTCTCTTCCTGGCAGGGCTGTGGTGGAACATAAGGACAGAATGCTCTGTCCATTGTCAGGTAGGATAAATGTATCAGTTGTTTTTACTTCACTATCACTTTTCTTCCAAGGGGTGGAGAGGGGAAGTGGTAGTATTTCCCAAAGTGGCTGCAACATAAAACTCTGTGGCATGGATAGAACGTAATTAAACTATAAAGAGTGCAAGAAGGGATCAGAATTGAACGATTAGCTGAAACCAGTCTTTCAGCTGTTCTGCAGATGTCTGTGTTCTCTGATAGCCTGGGCACCAGAATAACACAAGTCAGCGACAATCAGTGCTTTAGATTTCTAAATCACACAACCCCCAAACAGGGACCAGAATACCAATATCTCTCACCTGCCAGAGTTCTTGGGAATATCAATGAGATAACACATGGGGAGGGTTTTGGAAATCATTCAAGGATACAGAAATATCATCAGTTTTGTGAATGAGGACTAGTACAGTTTTCACAGTAAGTAGGGACCTTCGTGGTAGCTCTGGAGTCAGACACCGCTCACCACGAAAATGGTGAGCCAAATGGTAGCCCCTTTTCAGAATATTTGGAATCACTGGGTCACTCACCCTGGGTTCCCACTAGAACCATGGGGATCTCATTCGTGTTCCGATAATTGGCCATTCGACTGTAGTAATGGTAAACTGTCTGGAAGCTGATCTCATCCTCCAAGCTGAAGACAAATATAACCGCATCCACCCACATGGCAAACTGGGGAGGGATGTGGGTGGAGAGAAAGAAAACGGGAAATTAGGTGAGAAACAGGTTGGAAACAGCTGAAAAAATACAAATATCCCATGTGAGAGAAAACATAACCATTTAGAAAAAAGAATCACTATCTGTGTGAGTGAGTGTGTCTGTGTGTCTGTGTGTCTGTGCATGCCTGCATGCTGAAACTTTCTGGATGAATTTGTTAATTACAAAGGCAAGGGATCAATTATAGTGGTGTGAAATTGTCATGGTGCTTGGAGCAAACAGCAATCTATGCAATGCTTTTATATCACAGGTAGTTCTAGGAAATAAAATATCAGACTGAGAAACATTCTTTACATGTGAATTGACAAGCTTTGAGTTATAATGGTGGTGGGCAAATGTCCTAGTCCAGTTCTTCCACAAATGCCCCTGTAAAGACAAAGAAACGGTTCCTGGGCTTTTTACTGAAGAAGGAGATCAGCAGAGCTGGAAGGATCTCAGAGGTACCCAGCAAAACACAGAATTGGAAAAGGATCCCTTTACAACTTACCCAGCAATGGCTCATCTGCCCACTGTGAGAAGAGTTCCAGTGAGGGAAAACCCACAACCCCTAAGTCAACCCATTCCATTCAATGGCAACTTTGTTGTCGGGAAGTTTTTCCTGACCACAAATTTAAATTGGCTTCCATGCAACTCTCTCCCATGGCTCCTTTTTACTTGAAGTATTTTAATAAAGGGAAGGGTATTTTTCTGCAAAGAGTGATGAACTGAGAGTAAGAAGGACCTGTATTCAAATTCTACTGATGCAACTCACTGGGGACTCCAGCCCACTTTCTCTCTCTCTCTCTCTCTCTCTCTCTCTCTCTCTCTCTCTCTCTCAGGCCATTAGGGTTAAGTGACTTGCTCAGGGTCACACAGCTAGTAAGTGTCTGAGGCCAGATTTGAACTCAGGTCCTCCTGACTCTAGGGCTGGTGCTCTATCCATTGCACCACCTAGCGGCCCCAGTCTACTTCTCTTAAGCCCCAGGTTTCTTCATCAGGAGATCAATGGTCTCAGGGTTGTTATGAGGCTCAAGAAGATAATGGCTCAAAAGCATTTACTCTCCTTGGAGACCTCTACAGAGGCAAACTCACCACTTCTTGGGGCTATGCATTCCAAATTTGGAATAGCTTAATTGCCCCGACATTCAGACCAAGTCTGCCTCTTTGCAATGATCCTGATTGGCTCCTGGTTTTGCTTTCTGAGGCTAAAGAGAAGTAGCCTCATTCCTTTCCCAAAGGTCAGTGCTTGAAGACAGTTCATCATGGATCCCTGGGTCTTCTCTTCTCCAGGCTAAATATTTCTATGTCTTCTACTGATCTTCATGTGGAATGGAGTCAAGAAGTCAAGACCCCCTTCCTTGGTAGGATGTCTCTTCTCCTGTTTATCAAATTCCTTCCTAAAGCATGGTGCCTGGAAGTGAGCACAATGCCCACATATGAGGTCTGAGGGGGCCTATGGATCAACACCTCTATATTCCTAGAGCCTCTCTTGCTCGTAATATAGCCTGAGATGGCAGGATGGCTTTAACGGCCATAACCCCTGGCTGACTCACATGGTGCTCCCGCCATACCACTGACACCCAGCTCCCTACTCAACAATGCCTTGTACCTGCTCAAACCCAAGGAGGAATACTGACATAAGGGATCCAAGCAAGGGTCGGTGAAACTGCTCCCAAAGCTAAGAGTGGGTCTGGTGGCCAAGCCTGGTGGCAACAGGAAGAGGTGGAATCACACCTAGAACAGATGGGATTCATCACTCTCAAAATGTCACTGAGTCTCTAAGGTGGGCAATATGGAATGGGGAAAACAAGGCTTGCCCTCTCGGTCTTAAACTTCATATGAAAAAGTCTAAAACACTTAATAAGTGAATATTTGTTCAGTCCACTTCCAATCTTTAAAAAACAAAACGAAAAAAAAAGACTAATATCTATGTAGCACTTTAAGGCTTACAAAGCACTTTATAAATACTATTTTATCCTCATGTCAACCATGGAAGGTGGGTGCTATGATTATCCCCAAATTACAGACGAGGAAATTGAGGCAGACAGAGGAGATATGACTTACCTAGGGTCACACACCTAGTAAGTGTCTAAGGCTGGATTTGAACTCAGGGCTTCCTGATTTCAGGTCCAGTGCTCTATCCCTGGCACCACCTAACTGAATGGTCCCAAAGGCTAACTACTGCTTCTCCTGGCTGCTCTCTTCAGCCAAAGGGGCTTTGAGAAGGAAGAATGAGGAAAAAAGAAAAAAAAAGTAGCCTTGGGTAGCCTGTACATCTGTCAGAGCTCAAGGCAGTAAGCGATGAATCTCATTTCTATCATTTGCTCTGAGCTCCTTTAAACAAGTTTTGTGATTGAGCCTGGAGGCTGAAATAATTCTGTGTTAATGGAATGCACAATAAAACTGAAAATAAGACATTTTCAGAAGCTACCCTTTCTTTGAATTTTTCAAATGTCCATCTTCCAAGAATTTGAGTGATTTTGCAAACATTTCTCTGGAAGAGAACTACCACCTGAACTTGAAAAAAAAATCATTTTAATGAGATTTTAAATATCCCCACATAGATTAAAAAGGACAATTACCAATCACTTAGAAAATGCCAAGAGGGAGGCTAAGGCCACTGGGCTTCCCAGCATCTTGGGGAAGGGCAGAAGGAGAAACCAAGGCACAAGGTGCTTTCTGATTTGACCCAATGACTTTTCTCAAAAGACCATGTGGTCCATTAGGTCAAACCAGCTAGGCACAGTCTAGCGTGGCCAGATCCCTGGGCAGCCTTGTCTCCGGAACCTCCTCCTCCCCTTGACATCTGCCATATGGGAAGCACAGGGTAATCCCCCCTTTGAAAATGGGAGGCTTGCATCTGAGGACCTCTGAGGTCCTAAATCACAGAGGTGGAAGGAAGGATGCAGTCTAGAACAGCAGAAAGAGAGCAAGATTTGGAGCTAGGTTCCAAATAGTGGGACTCTGCCATCTTGTGTTCCTGGTGTCATCTCTGTCACTTACTGCCTAGTGAACTTGGGAAAGGGGGCGGAGTCTTTTCCTCTCTGGACATCAAAGAGGGGATTAGACCAGAAGTCTTTGATTTTACCCAAGCCCATGATTCTATGATCTCACCACCTTAGATGAGTCACTTCAGTCTGCTAAGCCTCAGTTTCCTGTTCTGTAAAATGAGGACACAAGACCTTTGTGGTTTCATCCAGCTCTCCATCCACAAAGGATCTCAAAAGTCATCTCCATTCCAACTTCCGGTCAGCAAAGAAATTCTATAGCTCATCTTTTAGGGTTTCCAGTATTGCCTTCATTAATTTCCAGAGATCTGATCCAAATTCCCCAGATCCACCTGACCTGGTTGGAAGAAATACAGACCCTTTTCCATGACTATAGGAAAACCAGGCTGCAGCTGCGGCTGGGTCCATGCTCACCTGTGCCTCTGGAGGACCCCCTTCATCTCTAATCAGCAGCAGGTAGCTTTGCCCATCCACAACTATTTCCTTCTTGAATCTCCCACCTGTCACACAAAAAGGAAAACTCGTTACAGAAAGGGGAAGAAAGGTGAAAAGGCTGAACAGACTCAGGCTCCGTGTGGGGAAAAATACAACCTCAGCTAGGCCTGGGGGCTCAACATTGGTCTCCAGCAATGCCAGGAGTTTTATGAGAACAGTCAAATCCATATTTTAAAGTTCCCTTTAGAAACCCACAAGCATTCATATTTGTAGCTAGTGGCTTTCTGTGGGATCCCAGGTTCATAACTGGCAAAAGGGAACATTTTCTAGGATCATTTACATTATAAACTCCTTGTTGCCCCCAAAGGACAAGAGTTCCCTTCAGAGATGATCAATCATCTCTTAGGAAAAGCAGGTCCAAATCAGCTTTGACCCACATTTCACCACATACAAACATATATACATACACACACATACATTCATTCTCTCTCTCTCTCTCTCTCTCTCTCTCTCTCTCTCTCTCTCTCTCTCTCTCTCTCTCTCTCTCTCTCTCTCTCTCTCTCTCTCTTCCCCACCACCTTCCCTCCCTCCCTCTTGCCTAGATTGTCTCTGGGATTCATTGGAGGGGAGGACATTGCTGAGGAACTGTATTACTCCCCCACAAGAAGCCTGACTCTAGAAAGGAAAACACGGAACATTATGAGAATGGTGACACTTTCTGTACTCACAGGGCACAATTAGAGGGGAGATGCTGTCATACTACACACATGTTAGACAAAAAGGAAACGCTACTACAGGGTGATGACATCTCTGGACTACGCGGTGAGGGCCAAGCAGTGCATCTCGCTAGCAGCAGGAGAGACAGACTAATCTGGGTTAGAGATGAAGGTCATCTGGGACTCCTTATCCAAATGGAAGGGCTCGATCCCACTCAACAACTACTACTTTTCTTTTTCTTTCTTTCTTTTTTTTTTTGGACAGAGAACCCGGGAAAGCAAAGGACTGCCAGCATATCTAGGCCAACTCCCTGCAAGCAGCTGGCCACTATCTGTCCAAACAAGGGACATTGTGGCTGAAATTGACTTGCCCCCTTCCCCAGCCCCCCAGCCCTGAAACTGACACTGCAAAGCCACTGGGTAGGGACCCCTTCCTTTTCCAGGGGTAGCCCCAAGTATTTCAGACCTCATGCAGCCTAACTCAACTGATTCTGGAACATGGCCAATCTTCTTCAGGTTTTCAGTGATAGCCCAGACTAAATGAAGATCAGCCAGAGACACGAAGGCTATAGCCTGAGCAAGGGTTGACTTCCTGTCCTTGGGAGCTGACTCGCCCTTCTCAGGCTAGTGATATCACCCCAGCCCCCTTCAGTCATTGATTGTCACACCTTCTCTTTAATCAACATGTCTGATTAAGACCTTTCCCATAACATACAAGGACTGACACAGGGGAACTCCATGCCTATATTTTGACCCCAAGAGAGAACCTTTCTGCCCCAAAACACTCTTTCTCCACTGGATGCCCTGTTCCCTGGAAGCTCTCCCTTACCACCCGCAGCTGCTGGAACAGCTGGAGTTCCCCCTCGGGCCCCTCCTACTGGCAGCTCTGGCTAGAGTCTCTAACTCAGGGCTTAAGGCTGAAGGGACCTTGGTGCTCACCCAAGCACTATTTCGGGGACAGTTGTGGACAGGCCTCAGAAGCTAGCAATCTTTCCAACCACATGTTTTCCAACTTGCAAACGGTTCACATGTCGTCATATACAAGGACGTGACTGCTAAGCCATTTGGTTAGCAGGTAGAATACCTCCAGGTGAGTTTGGGGATCTCTTCTGTCCTTGAGCGCACCAGAGAGAGCACTGGATTTTGAAATTAGGACAGCAGGGTTAGACTCCTGTGCCTCCCACTCACTAAGCTCCCTTTGTGACTTCAGAGAAGTCGTTCAGTCTTTCAGAAGTTCATCCTTGTTGTGGCTAAAATGAGCGGCTGGATCAGAGGACCAAGATGTCATCCAGCTCTAAACCTATGAGATGATGGTCCTCAATCACATAATCTGCCTTCTGGGCCTCAGCTTCCTTAACCATAAAATGAAGAGGGGACCCAGCATCCCTTCCAGCCCGAAGGATCTGAATTTACTTTTCAAAAACATCACTTTGCTCACGGATGAGGAAGATGGCTCTTTCTAGCTTTTTGTGATGATTTGAAACAGAACAAAACTTAAGTAATTATTGGGGGGTGGGTAGGGGAGAGAACACCAAGCTGCCAGGACTGGGTATGGCAGACTTCCCTCGCTACACAAAATCCAATGGTCTCTCAACTAGGTCCTTTGCCAATTTGAGGTTTCTGTGGATCTCACTCACAAAAGGAAAGTGAGACAAAAGTCAAATCCTAGCTGTGGTTTTTTGCCCAAATCATGTTTGAGCATAGAGCAGGAGCATGGTCCAGAGGATCATCCCCAGGAAGTCTTGCCTCTACCATCTTCTGGTTATTTAACCAAAGCTAAGTTTGCCATTTAACCTCTCAGCGCCCTAGGCAACTCTCGAAGAGAATAGTGTAGAGACAATTGCCAGTCTGCTTCAGTCAAAGGTATTTATTTCCATAACAGGAATTCCCTATAATTATGAAAATCAAAGGTCTAGAAAAGTAACAATAACAATAAGCCTGGGAAAGAATACTGAAAAATTAAACATTCTCCAAAAGTGACAAAACAGCAAAAGAATGTGAGGAGGAGAGAGCGCTCTTGAGCCACAAGTCCAGAGCGACACTTTCTGCCACCCTACTGTATGAAGTGCAATGCCAGGCCCCAAACAAAGGCGTGGGGATCGATGTTCAGGCGGCTCCGCCCCAACTCGAGGCAGCTCTTAGTTCTAAAAACTGAAAACAGGAAGTTTTCTTCATTGCAGGGAAACCCAATTCTCTTGACCATTGACCATAGTAACCCTATAGAGGAAGGCTAACCTTCTCAGGTCTCCAGCTGGGAAACCTCCTTGCCCCTGAAGCCATTTCTGTGGATCAAGGAACAGTGGAAACAAGGCAGGACCTATCTAGGGGTCACACACAAGCACTAATTCTCCAAGTATAACACGTGAGGATCCACACTAGTCCGTTTCCAGGAGGGGATTCCTGCATTGCCCAATCCTATCATCCAGCATCAATGCCATATGTACAAGGAGAGGTTCATTAATGTATCTCCAGTCCTCACTGTTGCTCCAATCATCCGGACCCCTCCCCAGTCGCACTCCAACACCAAATCTGGCCACTGACTATCCCATTCCACTATGACCTATGGAATTCCCACTCAATTGCCTATAAATTGTTATCCATCTTTGAAATTTTCCATCAATATCTCTTCTACATCTTCAAGAAAGGCAATATAGCAGAATGGCTCAAACACTGGACTTGGAACAAGGAGATCTGGGTTTGAATCCTACTCTGTTCAGTTACTAGCTATGTGTTTGGAGACAAGTCACTTCAGTTCTAGGAACTTCACTTCCCCCATCTGTAAAATGGGCACAGTAACATCTGTAACGCCTGCTTCAAAGTATGGCAAGGAACAAACTGCAAACTTTGAAGCACTATATAAGTGTGAGCTATTAGTACTGGACTGGTGTTTTATTTTAACAGTAACCTGTGTCTCCTAGTAACCATGAAATATCTTTTTCAGCCTTTTCTACTGGACTCCTGACTCCTGGGGCTAGGAGGAAGGGGGGTTAAGATACTGCTTGGTTCCTGCTGCTTTAACTGCCATTTCTCATTTATGTTTCCCTTTTGAAGTTCACGTTATCACCAGCACGACCCTCTCCCTCCCTGTCTTTGCTATGGATCATCTACCTACTTCCAGGTAATTACTCCAACTTTATCCATGACTTTGGAATGTCCTTCACGGTCTTCTTCATCCTCTTCCCTGCCGAGCAATATTCTCAGAGATTTCTACTAAACAAGGTAACAAATTCTTTGGCAATCTGAGCACCTGTATTCAGCCTCCTTCCCTACCTTATTTTAATCAAATATCGATGTGCTTGCTTGCTCCTTAGAGCCCTCCCAACACTGCATCACCTCTATGAAATGAAACCTTAAAATTCCACTCTTCAACCACGCAGTCGTTCCACCCTCCCGGCCCTCCCACTTCCCTTTCTATGACTTCTTATCCTCTGGTCCTTTCCTATTTTTATAGCCTATCTCTACTTCTCCACTTGGACTTGTCCATGCCCATCTCTCCCACCATGGTTTGCCTCAGTAATGTTGTGAGACCTGCTATCCCTAAATTCCTTATGACCCTTGACCCGGCATTTCTGATCCTTGAATACTCATCCCTGGGTAACCTATCCATTCTGATTTCTCTAATCCTTTTACAATACACCCTAGTATTACAGAAGAAATGAATGAAATCAAGCTGGTATTAGCCATGACAAATTTATGGCATATTGCATCCTCTACCTAACTGCCATTAGCCTCAAGCATGTGATGCCTGCTCCTTTTTCCTTTGCTGATCTTAGGTAAATAAGCCTCTAGAGGCAGAATAGACCAGGTCAAGCCCTTTGAGCTAGAAAAGCTTGCAAAAGCCATCAGAGATCCCTAAGTGTCTGGAGTTGGTAGCAAGAGTAGCTGAGACCAGGGAGGAGTCAGCCCTAAAGAGTGTCCTACTTGACCCAAGCCAGCCGACTATCTTCCCACCAGCCAAGACAGCCTGTCCTGCAAAGAGCCAGCCAATTTTCAGGAGATGAAAATCCAAGAAAAGAATCATCAAAGCTTATAACTTCAGTAGTCTAAATACAGATAAACAAAGTATAGATAACTCAAACCAAGGTGAACTTGAGAATCTAATGGAAGGAGTAATATTTTGCCTTATGTGTGGTGGGATGGGTCTACTCAAAATGAAAAGACTAAGTAAGTAAGTGTGTGTGTATGAGAGAGAGAGAGAGAGGGACCGCGCGCGCGCGTTTGTGTGTGTGTGTGTGTGTGTGTGTAGGAGGGAGTCAGAAAAGAATTGAGTATTGTTAAGAAGACATGTTCATACGAGGAAATACAAGGTTTCCAGAAAAGGCAAGGATACATACATACATACATCACAA